CCTGTCCCAAAGAAGATCCTCTCTGCCAATCCAAACAGTTTAGCTAATCAATGAGAAATCATTTACAGGATGACAAATTCTTCATCATCTCCATGCACAGCCTGGACAGCTTCTAATGGCACCACATTTTCCATGTTCCCAGTCAAACCCACATTCTTCTCACCAGCCTGGTGGTGAACTGCTTCATTTTTTTGTCTTAAGACAACTCTGCACTACAAGGAATACAATTTCTTTCCTTCTACTCCCAGAAATCATCATTTTCTTGGGTTCTTTTCACCTCCTTCAGATGTTCTCTCACATTACAGCCCCTCTGTAAGGGCTCCACACAGATGCCATCAATTGCTTCCCCTTGGCCATGGGGGAAGCTACAGGATACACTTAAAAGGTGAAAAATTTATTATTTCTGTCAACTGCAATTCAGCCTAAGCCTAAAACAGAAAGTAAGTCCTCCCCCACAGCAACACCACTGTGAAGCAGATGTGGTCCAGCATGACTGACTTAGGAAAGCCTGTGTTTTCCTAAGAAAACTTGGGTTTGAAGCAGGAAATTTGAAGGGATTCTTCCTTTTTTTTTTTCAGGCAAAGGCAATTTCAGAGGCTATCACTGCACCCTGTTCCAGCAGGAAGGGGAGTACAGTGAGCAATCAGCACAAAAAGGTGATGGTGAGATACCTGACGCCTTGCTTCAAGTCATGAAAATGCTACAGAAGTGAGAGAGGAGCTGTGACAGCTAATGGGGTTTGGGTTTCTCTATGAGAAGGCAACTGGAGCAACAAAGAAAAGTACCTCAGTCTTCCTCATCTCAAAGGCAGTTTGGTTCACTCCAGGTTACAGTCTGGGCTGAAAACTGTCGTGACCAACAAGAAACCTCCTCACTCTGCCAGTGCATATATAGCACTTGCTCTTTTCTCCTGGGTTTTACCATTTCAGAACTGGTTTTAACTCACAACCAGAACCTTCAAGCTACATTTAATTCCTTAGGCTGCCTGGTTAGGAACCTCTTGCTGTGGATAGTTTGTCACTCATCTTTATTCCACTAGAAAGTATTTGTGGTTATGTGGTCATTTCCTGTGTCTCCAGGACCAAGGGGGAGCAAAACCATCTTGCCTTGAGAGCAAAGCAATGCCTTTCACTTTATTTCTCTGTACACTTCCACCAGAGATAAACAACGGCAGAGCCCTTGATGACTTTTACAGGTTGAAGTTCTCACATGCTCAATTCCCTTTCAAAGAGACAACACTTCAAGGTTTCAAAGAGCCTCTCCCACCTGAGCAGGGAACATGCAGCCACAGCTGTTCCTCCCAGAGATCAGCACCTCCAGGCCAGGCTTTAACTTCATGACAATAAAACATGAAAGGTTTCTCTTACAATAAAAACAAATGAACATGGAACAGCTAAGGGTTTGATCCACACTGGGCACATTTTCCCTCTCTTCTTTGCATGACAGACTCCTTGGAGGAAAAGGCCACAGGAAAGAGTACAACATATTTTTCACCTTCTCTGACAGTTTAAAATGTTTAACTAGAAAAACAGCCTCTTCCACCCCACATCCATCACTGCAGCCTAAACTCATTTACGGTGTCAGCAGGGGACAAGACAGCTCTGGGGACATCTCCCTCCTGCTCCCAGACTGGCACAGCCACAAGGAACTGGGGCTAGGCAGGAACTTAGGGCTGCAAACCCTTTTCATTCCACTTTTTTTGGCTCTTACCCCTTCCAAGGACAACTCAGGGTACCTCCAATCAATCTAACACGCAGAGGAGCACGTGCCACACACCCAACAGGACAGCAAAGTGTCTCAGGGAGGAATACAAATCTTAAGAACATCTGGGAAAAACTTCGTCTACAAATCAATCAACAGTCCCTCCACGAGCAGTATCACAGTTCCCCCCAGGCTACCCAAGTAGCTGTGGGCTGAGGCAGCTATAGGACAGTCACACCTTTGCTTCCAGAGCTTGCAACTGAAAATAGAAGGACTTCAATATGCCCACTGACATCTGGTAAATGTGCTGCTGTTCCTATAGCAGCTGGAAGGTTCTCAGTTACTTAATGTGCTGACAAAAAAGAAAATTATTATTTTCCTTTGCCATTCCTCACACAAACATAAAACTCAGAGTTTCAGCCTCCTCTGCTTCCCATTCTGTTATTTTACAACTATTAAATGACTGAAATAACTGAAGAAGGAACTCCTGGAAGGTGGTTCTTGTTCCAACAAAACAGCAACCACTCTGCACAGACAAGACTTTCTAAAATAGGTCATGGACTTGGCCCAACAGAGGAGATTTCTTCCCAGTGAGCAAGAGAGCTTCCACTGGGATCAAGAAAACCTTCTGAGCATGGTTAGCTCCTCTCTGGGGACAGGGACAGCAACAGCTTCAAGGCTCAATAGATCTCATCCATGAGCCTGATGTTTCAGATGAGCATCAGCTCAGTCCAGCACCAAAATTTGCTTTAGGTAAGGAAATACCCTAAAGAAGTCAAGTTCTTCCAAACAAACTAAAAAGGCAAATAACTCTCAAAACTCTATTCTCCCTCCTGTTGTAGGGTGTCTCATCCTGCTCCCCTCCAACCCCTCTTTGAGAGACAGAGAGAATTGTTTTGCAGAAACAGGGAGGAAAGCTGTCCTCACACACCAGGGCCTTCCCAGGGCAGCACTTAGCTCCAGTTGGAAATCCAAGACCATGAAATCACTTATTTACGGAGAGAATTAATGTTAAGCAGACTCTTAGCAAGGTCTTAGTAGCAGGAATCAGATTTGCTTCAACCCCCAACTTTGAAGCTCTCATTGCCATCTCCCCTGTGGTGTGGACTGTTTAGAGAGCAGACAGAAAAACGAGCAAGGACACTAGAAGAAAACATGGGGAAACTATACACTGAGTACTCAGGGAAAAAGAAAAAAAAAGTATGTTTTGTTTTCTTCTAGCATTTGGCTGCAGTAACACAGAATCTTTGGAATAACAGAGTATTATTATCCAGATATTATAATCAA